TTCTTCTTCTTCTTCTTCTTCTTCTTCTTCTTCTTCTTCTTCTTCTTTCTTCTTCTTCTTCTTCTTCTTCTTCTTCTTCTTTCTTCTTCTTCTTCTTCTTCTTCTTCTTCTTCTTCTTCTTCTTCATGCACAAGACTTCAGAAGGCTTCAGGACTAAAGATGTTATTTCTGATGCTCTGGGCATTACATTGATCTGCTTCTTCATGAGTGCTGAGTGTCACAAGGCTCGTTCTGGAGTGGGGCTTAAGGATTATCACATGATGATCCTCTCTCCACTCTTGATTCGTTCACCACTGTCATTGCTGCTCCAATTTCCATTAAGTAATGGGTTTTCTCTAATCCATAGACACTGAACTGTGGCTTTGACTTCTGGAGGTTCTAGTAACATCAAAACACAAGTGTGGGGCTAAGTGACTTGTCAGTCAGCTTTTAAGACTATTGCTTATAAAAGCAAGAAGAAAGGTTTGTCTTGGTTTAAGGCCAGGCTTGAACTAATTTCTTTCTTTCTTTCTTTCTTTCTTTCTTTCTTTCTTTCTTTCTTTCTTTCTTTCTTTCTTTCTCTCTCTCTCTCTCTTTTTCTTTTTTTGAACTACAATCCCCAGAATGCCATTTACTTTGCAGAAATGAAAGTGTGCTTCAATTTAATGTTGAGAGCCCGAGATCAATTTATTTGTAACATGGCTCATAACTCTTTAGATTTGAGCGACAGAACATCTAAGAAAGGACTGTGAAGGAATACACAGAGCCAGAGAAAAGATCAATACCGGCCATACTTGAATCACATTTTTGAGACATTATTTGGACAAATCCTTCAGTTTGGTTTTCCTTTATAGTGTGAAACTGGTCCTTTTGCGCCCAGTGAAGGGGCCACTACATTCTAACAAGTACTAAGGTTGCCATCCATCCTAACCCCACCCTGTACTTTACAGTCTATCATTACACATTACCCCAGCAGGGCAACTGGAGGGAAGCAGAATTATTTAAGGGCTTTTTATTTAAGATGATGAAGAACCTAGCGATAATTTTGACTCTTGGAAGTACAGTCCTTTATTTTGAGACATATTATGTAGTAATTGAATGATCCCTGGACAGTTTGAATAATGCTCAAGACACATGACTGCTAAGCATGGTACCAAACAGGGGAACGGTGAATGACTGGGATAATGAGGTGGAGTCTTGTCTTGGTTTCCTCATCCTAAAAGTCAGACAAGGAAATTTTGTGCAATGCAGAAGATTTGGGGGAGGGGCAGTGCAGAGATGACTCAGCTGCTTAAGAGCACTGGCTGCTCCTGCAGAGGACCCAGGTCAGATTCCTAGCCCCCACATGGTAGTTCACAACTATCTCTGACTCCAGTTCCAGGGGATCTGAAGTCCTCTTCTGGCCTCTGTAGGCACTGCACACATTGAGGAACGTACATACATGCAGGCAAAGCACTCATACTCATAAAAAACATGAAAAACAATAAAAAGATTTCCTTTATGATGTCCTCATTTCTATAAGTAAAACTATTACTATTTACTATCAGAGTACAGCTCTTCTTGCGTGAAGTAAGAACTGGAGCAATCTAGATATATTCGTCAGTAGACATGATGGTTGACAGGAGCTCAGATCAAGTAGGAGGCACACCTCTGGGCATAGCTGTGAGGCGAGAAGCCCCACCCTGACCACTGGACAAAGAAGAAGGCGAGTGAGCTGAGCTGTAGACAACCCTTCCCAGCTTCCTGACCACGATGCTATGAGACTAGAGGCTCATGCACCTGCTGCCATGACCTTCCTGCCATGACACACGGCATCCCCAAAACTGTGAGCCAGAGCAAACCCTTCCTCCTCCTGCAAGGTACTTCTCATCACATGTTTGATGAGAGAAGCTACGCACAGGAGGAAGTAGTTAAGCTGTCCTTCCACACAATTTGCTACTTCTTTAGAAGATGAGCAAAAAATGTAACAGGAAAACATTAAAAACGTAACGCTGACTGAACAAAATAGAGATACTGTATACGTATATGCCTATATCACCACCAAATTATAGGCACCCATGAAAGAAATGAACAAGTAATAGGGTGGTAGAAGGGATATGCGCCCACATCAGTATGTTTTAATCAGTCCTGAGGAGGAAGACGGGGAAAGGATAGGAAAAGGGCACAAGAAAACTAGGGTTTTTTTTCCTTTTTAAACATGTGTATCTCTGTGTATCTGTTTATAGGTATGTGCAGTTGAGTGCAGGTACCTGCAGAGGCCAGAGATGGCAGATCCCCTGGAGACAGAGGTATAGGCAGCTGTGAGCTTTCCAGTGGTGGTTGTTGGGAAGTGAACTTGGGTCTTCTGAAAGAGCAGGGCAGACTCTTAATCACGGAATCATCTCTCTAGCCCCAACAAGGAAATGGTTAAGTGATATTTATGACTGTGACTTTAAAATAATCAAATATAAATACAGCATCAACGGTTATGTCATTTTTCCCCTTCTATTTTTTTTTATAGGATAGACATTTTTTCATAGTTTAAAAGCTTACAGGTATGTGTGTGGCTCAATGGCAGAGTGCTTGCCTGGTATGCCCAAGGTTCTGACTTTGATACATAGTACCAGAAAACAAACAAAAACAATGAAACATGGCAGTAATAACGAAAGAAAAACATGTCTTCAAACCACTAGGACCTTTAGACAAATTATTTCTTCTCTGCTAGCCTCATTTCTCCCAACTTTAATGTAGGAACCAGGATACTGTCCCTGCAGAATTACAGTGACGAACTGAGAAAAAAGAAAAAAGAAAAGCACCTTTAAAAATGTCCGCAGTACTGATATTATAATCGCCGCTAGCCAGCTGCTTCTTGGTCCATAGTTGGTAATGTCCGCTCTCTGATATAAAGGCACCAACTTCCAGAAATACTGCTTCATCATGCTGTCCGCTCTGCCCTCCAGTTGACTCAACCATCTGCTTAGGTAAAGCCATCCTACACCCTCTTCTGCTTTCATCCTTTCAGTGATAGCATTTATCATTTTTACTGAATTTTTGAGACTCCCTAACATGAAGACAGGTTTCTTTCAGCCTCATTTCTCTAGTGAAATCAAGGAGAGAAAGAAGGAAAAGACTCAGGACTGGGTGCTAATAGTGGCTCCTAGAGACCTCCCCATGACTCCCTGGAGTTCTTGGAGATGTGAAATGTGCTTGTGGTCCACAGCAGTAGCTTTGTGTTTGGAGGTTGTGGAACCTTGGCAAAGGTGACCTAGCTGGGAAAAGCAGGTCTTTACAATCTGAACCACGCCAGGGTCCATTGGACTCTGCTTCCTGCTGGAGCTGTGCATGAAGCTGCAGCTTGATCTTCCTCCATCACAGGCCGAGTCTCTTCAGCCTCCATACCTTCTGCACATGACAGACTGTTTCCTCTGAACTATGAGGATAAGTAACTTTTCCCCCTCTGTCAGGTATTTTGTCATAGCACAAGAAGAGTTACTAAGATGGGTGGTTATACCTGATGACCTACTGAAGCGTCTCCTGGTCCGTAGACATGTTCTTGCGGCTCCTATATCCAGCCAATAATGACTGCATTGCTTAATGAAAGAGGAGGAGGAGGCTGGGCATGATGGCCCATGCCTTTAATCCTAGCATTCAGGAGGCAGAGGCAGGCAGATCGCTGTGAGTTCGAGGCCAACCTGATCTTACAACTCTAGTCCAGGACAACCAGGGCTATACAGAGAAACCCTGTCTTGACCCCCCCCCCCAAAAAAAAATCCCACAAGAAAACAAACAAAAACAAAACAAAAAAAAGAAAAAAGAAGCAGCAGCAGGAGGAAAACAGGAAGAGGGGGACAGGGTGGGGAGAAGAGGGATGAGAAGGAGGGAGTAGAGAGGAGGAGAAGGAGAGGGGAATGTAGCAAAATCAAGGAGCCATACTGTCTTTAGCTGCTCAGAGACCTGCTTTTGCACATTGTCATTCGACAACACATCCTTTCTCCCCTGGTAAGGTACTGGAAATTATTCAACATTCACTGCCTTTCGCAGGCCAGCTCCTCACCTGTGATTCACACCGCCACCTTCGGCTCCCAGGTGTTCTTTGTTGGGCCTCTGGGCTGCTTTTCCATTTCCTGCCTCCTCTATCTCACTGAGGTTGTCAGGGCTGTCCTCCTCCAAGCTGTCAGGCTCCATATCTTCGTTCTGGATGTGGTCCTCAGTTTCGGATTTAAATTTAATCGCTTGAGGGAGGCTTTCTGAATCCGAGTCTAAGGAATCTTTTGAAATCAGGTTAAAGGGTCGGTCTGAAGGCTGGGTACTCAGGTTGGTATGATAGACAGGAGATTGACTGGAGAGCTTGGGAATTTGTTTATATTTCCTCATCCTGAAAAATAGAAACACGAACAGTGAGGCTCTTGTTAACAGAAGCAGTTAGCTGATATTTATAATTGTGGCTCTCAAAAGCATTGCTTAAAAATTATATTTATGTTATTCTGCGGCTACTGAGATCATAATGGTGGTGTTTGTCAAAAAATGTCAATGAGCAGGAGAACCTTGTTGTATTATCTGCAGGCTTTTGAATGCACCCTTTTGAGCATATGAGCAAGGAAGGCCTATTGGAAAAAAAAAAAAAGATTGTTTTTTTCTCTCTGCAGAAACACATCTGATTTAGGGCTCATAAGCAGCCTGAGTAATTGAATGAGGTTTTATTGAGGAAATCAAATGGCTGCTTGAAAGCGGATTCTGTTTCCAGCTTCCAAGGGCTTCTTACAAACAAGCCGGAACAAAGCCAAATGGCTAATTGTGAGCAGTGCTTTTGGTGGCTTTATTTCAAATGCCCAGGGCAAGTGTGTGTGTGTGTGTGTGTGTGTGTGTGTGTGTGTGTGTGTGTGCACATCTTGTTCAGTAGCAGACTCACTCAAACAGGTTCAGGGTTTACCATTTAGATAGTAAAAGAGAGAAAAATCATTATTTCCCCAATGGGAACTATAACACACAGACTGTTTTATTCCTAGACCAGTGTCAGCTGGCTCCATCATTTAGAAAAAGCTTTTGCTATCTAGGATGTTGCTAGAAATGAATGTGTAGTTTGGTGGCCATTATATGGAGATCAATCTCAGCTCAGTATTATACAATAACAATGTAAGAATGATGGTTAAAATGTTCAATAAACAAGGTATGTTAGTGCATACTGGTAAGCCAAGCACTTTGAAGGAGGAAGGAGAAAGATCAGGTATTGAAGCGAGGCCAGTTTGGGCTGCATGAGACCCTATCTAAAATAATAATTCCAAACTGTTCAACAAAAGGTTTGAGTCCCTGAGTGGCTCAAAGCAGAGGCCGGGTGTCCACCTACCTGGGATAGACGCTGCTCTTGAGTAGGTGGGAGACTAGCCTGCTTTACGGCTGGGAGTTAGTGGGGTCCTGTGTAACTTATATGGTTCCAAGTGATCCTCACTGTCTCCAAGGGCTGCTCTCGTGACCCATGAGACAGTTTACAGAAAAGTCGCTTTGAGTCAGCACAGGATTGGAGGACGATAGTTGGAATGGGATTTCCTTTCATCTACCCAGTGTTTCTCTTTTGGTTTACCTTCTCTCTCACTGACTTTGTTTTTTTTTTTTTTTTTTTTTGTGTGTGTGTGTGTGTGTGTGTGAGAGAGAGAGAGAGAGAGAGAGAGAGAGAAAGAGAGAGAAACCTTTACCATTGGAGGCTATGCTCAAATTTTGGCTGGATTGCTCATGTTCTTTTGGAAAATCCAGTTTTTAATTAAAAATACCTTGACCTGATGCCTGTTCCTTGAATTATTATATTGACTTTGTTGCTAGGGTTTCCAAGGACACAATCTGCTCTTTGGAAGAAAGCACCTTTACAAACACAACAGACAAAAGGTCGTGTTCATACTTAAACAAACATGGAGCATTACTCTGCTTAACTCCAAGTTCTCTCCTGGTAGACCTAAGGTCTGCTAGTCATTGTCTAATTTTAGATCAGTTTGCCTGCAGTAAATCTCCTGTGTAGTGTACACATTGCATTCTGCCACATTTTAATACTGATTTACCTTTTCAGGATTTTTTTTTTAGAAAGCAGCAAGCATGAAAACATTCGACATCTAAGTCTCTATAAACACCCATTTTTATTATTTCAAAGCTCACTGTATTTGAAATCTTGAAAAACAAGCTGGAAAACAGGGCTAGGAAGTATAGCTCACTGATAGAATATGCATGACACCTGGGGTTTAATCTACAACCCCCACCAGGAAAAAGCCATCATAGTTCATTTCAGAATTGTTTTTCATACAATAATTCAGCTCCTTCATTCTGTCTTTTCTTAAATGAGAACCCAGGACTTTTGTTAGTAATGAGTAATGGGCACATATGATCAGAATTTAGTTGTTGACAAAACGATAGGAATTTGGGAAGAATGTGAAAGCAGAGTGAAAACCAAAGTTGTATTTTCAGTGTAAGCCTGATCTTAAGGGGGGGATGGGGGGACAGAGACAGAAGGATTATAGAAAAAGGGCTGACCCCTCGAGTTAATTTACTAAGTGGGCTCCATTTCACAAGTAACTCCCTAGTGATACTCCATAGAAAAAAAAAAAAAAAACCCAAACCACGACAAAACAAAACATAACAACGGCTGGCCTCTCTCCTGACCAATCCACTTCTTAGTAAACAAGGAATTCTCTGGGATCCTGTTAAGGCCTTCTGTCTGCCATTACTTGGGGACAAATCCGCTAGGGCAGGGGACAAGGAGGCCAGTTTAGGATCAACAGCGGATCTAAACAGGATCCTGCCTGTTCAGAACAGGCAGGCTGTTGCCCCGTGGGGAATCGCAGGGTTTTCGCCATTGTCTCTTTCTAAGGGCCAGGACCGACTGCAGGGGCCTGAAGGTCCAGAAGTGGCGGGGTGGAGGCTGGGGACAGGGCTGTCCGGCCTGGGGGTCGCGGTCCCTCTTGGGCACGGTCCTTCCTGCCGGACCGCAGACTCTACCGCTCCCTCGCGCCCGCCCGGGAGTTCTCGGTACACCCCGCCCCGCGCGGCCCCTTCCCACCCGCCGGGAACCGCCCGTCACCTGCCGGCGCTGTTGGGCGGCCGCGCCCCTGGCCCCGCAACCTCCGCAGCCCGGGCTCCCGCTGCGGCTCCCGCCCCGCCCGCCGCTGCCTGGAAACCGCGGCCAACATCCTGCCGCTCGCTCGGGGCCGCGGGGCCTGCGCTCCCGCTGCTCGGCGGCGCGGGGGACCCCGGCTCTGGATGCTCAAGTCCGGCCTCTCCGACCCTGCGGAGGAGGAGGAAAAGCAGGGAGGGGAGAGCCCCGTTTCTGGTGTAGGCGGACACCTACCCACCCAGGAGAAGGGAGTCCATTTAGTGAGTGGGAGGGAGGCAAGGAAGAGAAGAAGCAGGAGGAGGGGGAGGGAGGAAGAGAACAGGTAGCCAAGAAGCACTTGCCCTTTATTGGAAAGGAACTTAATTCATCAATATCAGAGGAGGGAAAATCAAAGCATCTGAAGGTGGAAAGTTGGCCACGTGTTGGTGATGCCACCTAGTAGTCTCAGCACTCAGAGGGAGTGGCTAGAGGGCCGGGACAGGGAGGTCCTGTCTCAAAGAGCCGAAACACCCAAAGGAACAGCAAGCAGATAAACACACCGGTTCCAAGGGCCACCTGTGAAGGGCTGGAAACGGGGTGGCCTTCTCTGGGATATGCAGGCACACCTTAGTTCCCGGCAACCTCGCCTTCAGACAGTCACTCGAGGAAGCACGTGTTTTCATGCAACTTGATGGTTTAAGTCTAAAAGGTTCCACTCGAGCTCGTGGATTTGAAAACCTGGTTCCCAGCTGGTGGGGTGACGTTTTGTGTAGCTGACTGGGACCGGCCTTGGAGGGTTAGAGCCCGTTGCTGAATTCTCTGCTTTCCGGTCGCCCATGATGTCAAGAGCATGTGCCACGCTAGTCCCTTATATTTTGTCATCCCTTCCCCACCCTGATGGACTGAAGCCATAGCTGAAATAATCGCCCCTTGCTGTCAGTTCCCCCCCCCCGCCCCCCAACTATGAGTAGAATACCTCACAGGACATCCAAACTGAAGACTATGGGAACATAATATTAAAGACCAGGTAAATCCAACTCGGATGGTTTGTAGGTGCACACAGAGCAAAGCCAATGACTTAAGAGGAGAAAAAAAAAAAACAAAACAAAACAAAAAAAAATGAGCCAAGTACAAATGTATGTAAGGTTAGGACTCTGATCGGCTCCAGAAAGTGTGAGAAGAGTGTTTTTGAGATTGTATTTCTTGACTTCAGTGGTTGATGTTCATTTAAAATACTCTTTTATACATGTGTAGGATGGCTTGCTGTCTAAAGTTTTCAAAGACGAAGAAAGGAAATGCTGGAAATTACATTCACATTAAAGAGACAAGTAGGCCTCAATAACTGTTTTCAATGGGCCAATAAAGTCTACAGACCAGTTGCTTCACTAATAATAGAAAACAGAGAATGGGGAAAATAACCTTATACCCAGTTTTACCACTTTTCAATCTGGTTCTTGTTATAGCTGATTATTTTTCCACTTTGTTTTGACAATAGGGACCTCTCCTATACATGCACAGCCAGACCCCAGTGTTCACTGACAAATAAAAGTAAGTTATCTGAAGCATTTGTATTATTCTGCCCAATCCATTGCACAAATTATCATTACAACAACGTCAACCGTGCGACGGAAGCCCATGCTGAAGTCTTCAATCTTCAACGCAGTTTCCAGGTGTGTTGTTCTGAGAACTCAAGAGAGAAGTGTTTACACACCTGCCTGCCTTTTCAGCCACTCATCCGTGCAATTCATGACTGTGGGTCTTCAGGTCCTTCAAATGCTTTCTGCAGCATCTGAAGAACATTTCTTCTGGCTTTCCACAAAACAGGGACCTCGTGTGATCCCTAAGAGTCGAGATCCTGGTGAAGAACCCCAGGAGTTTGGCCCACCGCCCTCCCCCTCTGTAACAACCATCCTGCTTACGCTTTGGTGTAACTGAAGAGTTGGAATGACAAGCACAAATGGCGGGGCCTGTCAGGGGTCAGAAATGATGTCAGTTGTTTTAATGGAGATAATTGGATACGAAGGGGACACACTTCTCACTGATAGAGTGACCATGGGAAGCAGCTCTGGCTCTTATCCTGGAGCGCTCCTAGAGGAACCCAGGTATAAACCTGAAATCATTATCCCTGAGAAGCCTGGAGCAGGGCTGCTTGGAGCAAGGATCCAGGCCTTCGAGGGGGAGTAAGATGGGACTAACAGAGCTGGCTTTGGGAGCAGCAAAATGGGAATGCTACTAATGCACACTGAGCCCTGGGAGTATGGAAAGACTCTGTCAAGAGGACTTTGAAAAAATGGTAAGAAAGTGAGGGTCAGTCCCTTTGTCTCCTTCACCCAGGCCACCTCCTTCTCCTGCCCATCACCAGGGGAGCCAGCAAGAAGTCTGCTGGGAAAGGAGAAACATGGTTTACAGGAGTTCTGTCTGCCTGGTAATCAGTGTGTGGTTTGAGTGTGTGTGTGTGTGTGTGTGTGTGTGTGTGTGTGTGTGTGTTTGTGAGTGTGTTAGTGTGTGGTGTTTGTGTATGATTGTGTCTGTGACTGCAAGTACCTGAGGTGGGAAGAGGCAATAGATCTTTCCAGAGCCAGAGTCACAGGTGGTTGTGAGTTCCTAACTGCTGAGCCACCATCTCTCTAGCCCTGAGATTTCCTGCCTTCATAAAAACAAACAAACAAACAAACAAACAAATAAATATGATCTATTGTTTTGTGAAGCCAAAAACACCCTGGCAGATTATTTTTGTTTTTGTTTTTAAATCTTAATACAATTGTTTCCATGAATTTAGACTTTTCTAGAAATTAAGTGGGAAGGCTTTAAAAAACAAAACCATAAACCGTATGGTGCATTTGAAGAGAATACTAGACTCTTTTGCTTCCTGTGACTAGGTTTATTTGTATCTGAAAACAAGGAGCAGAGAAGACAAGATGGGGGAAATTAACATATTCCAACCCCGATGACAGACCTGTGAGTGCATTACAGGAAGGAAGAGGGCTTCTTTTCTCTCAGAAGGTTCAGGATGTTAAAAAAAAAAAAAATCCATTCGCGTTTCATCTAGATCAAACCCCTTTATGAATATAGCAAATTACCATTACTTCAGCCAGAGGAAGGGACGGAGATTATGTTGTTGGGTTAAATTAGCGGGCTCATTAATGGTCAGCAGTTCAAACCACCTTCTTTATCTGCAGGGAGCCTCATGACTTCAGGGTGCTCAGCCTGTTGGGTGGTTGTCATTTTCTCTGTTATTTTCACCTAATGACAGATGGTATGGGTGATGCTTGCAGCCACATATATAAATATATATACTTGAAATGAGGCAGTATGACAAGCATTCTTTGATTTACTTCCTGGAAGGCAGCATTGAGAAGGGTCTGCTCGTTCTTCTGTGGCTTCATCTTGCAGTGAGTGAGAGGACAAGAGCATGAAACCACCTCTTAAGTAGGAAAAGGGCGGGATGTTGCCTTGGGCTAAAGGTCCTAATCCCAGCTGTTTCACTCACTGGTTACGTCACTGTACTTCCATCAACAAAGCAAACTACTCCGGCTCAGTGTTTTCCGGGATAATAACTGTGCACAAAAACAACCCACTCTACAATTTAAAGCTGCTCCATTTGGGAGGTGAAGGTAACTGCAGATCCAGTTCATCGTGGTCTCCAGTCTATGATGATTCTGACACAGCAACTCAAGAGCAGTAAGGACACAGAATTTCCCTTTCTCGTCCCTTCTGTGTCCTTGGCACAATAGCCTGGCCATGGCAGAGGTAATGGTGGCTCCAGGCATCATTTGCAGTTACATTTTCCAAGGAGGATGCTTTGATTCTAAAGGCCTCTCTTTTTATCACTAAGAAAGGTGTTTTCTGTGCCAGGAACAAAACAGGAAGTTTGTACATTTGAGACCATCTTGGGCTACATAGCAAGATCCTGCCTCAACTACGTAAATAAACAAACAAAAATACTTTCTAGAAACCTACCAAGACTCACTCCTGTCTCAAGGGCCAGTGTTGTTTTATGTTATTACATTTATTGTACTATTTTTCTGCATCCATGGATGTAACAAATCTTAGATATAAAAACAGGTTGCCTTTGTACTGTGCATGTACAACCCTTGTCATTATTCCCAAAACAGTAGGCTGCAAGTTGATATCTATATCCTTTATATTGCATTAAGTACCATTTATACCTGGAGGTGATTTACATTTTCAGGAGGCTGTATGTGGTTTATAAGTGAATATCACAGTTTTATATCAGGGACTTGAAAAATCTTCAGATTTTGGTGGTCTGAGGGATGGTGTCAGGGAGGTCTTATTGAAGTGATAATGTTTGATAGTTCTCAAATTTATATGACCCCAGGGAACTTTTAAAAAATAATTACATTTATTTATTCATTCTTTTGTGTTTGTGTGAGTATAGATGAGTGTGGGGGTCAGAAGACAATTTTCAAGGGTCCATTCTCTCCATCCACCATGTGGGTGTCCTATACTGAACTCAAATCTTCAAGGTCTGTGCAGGGGCCTTTACCCGCTGACTCATCTTGCCAGCCCAGGAAATGTTTCTTTCCCTGACAAAACGTCTACTAGTATTTCTAGGACATTAGTTTTCCTCAAAATACATTTTAATGCTTGACATATATTCCAAGATTCTTCCTAATTTGGATATTTGATCTGTAAAGCTAGATCAAGAATACTAGGATGTGAGAAATCTATAAACATACCTGTGTTATTGGTCAGTGTTTCTGTACACACAGATGGCACCCTCAGATTGGATAATGTAAGGGATTTACTAAACTAGATTCAAAGCTTTGGAGGAAATTAAAAGGTTGCACAGGATTCCGCAATGTCCACTTAGATAGTGTGAAGAAAGAAGGAGGTAGATTTTAGAACCAGAGAGACAGAGATAGAGAGAGAGAGAGAGATAAACACCTGGCCAGGATTACAACATCTAGCTGCAGAATGTAGTCAGTCCTGCTAATCCTGGGAACCCCATGCTCTCTGCGAAACTGTTGCTTCTTCACATTCCCTCAGAGAGATGGTATAACCCAAATCATCAGTCTCCCAGGGCAAATGAAAGATACATAGCTCCCAACATCTCATTTCATTTTAAATATCCCCTGAAGTCATCTTAGTATTGCAATAGAGGGGGCATAGTCTTGAGTCCAGGCTGTCTTGGACCCAGCTTCTACCCTCAGTTTACTTAATCTGGCAGAAATGTTTTAAAGTGATGACCAGGAGATCGTGATCACCTCACCCAAAGCATTGACAGTTCAGCTCCACTTTGAAAATGTGTGGTCTGTGCTCCACCAGGGTTCCCCTACCAGGCTGCAGTAGAATCTTTCAGAAAATTCCGATTGCAAAACTCTACCCCAAGTCTCCTGACACCGGTCACTGGGAATGAACTGGGATCCCCATCTTAGGAAATCCTCTCAGGGGGGTTCTATAAGGGCGTTCCTCCACTTTGCACATTGCTGAATTGTTAGCACATTGATTCAGTTCTTAGTAAAGGATCTGGAGAAATGGGGGCAGTCACAGGGGCAACCTGTGGGAGGACTTGCTGCAAACATAGACTCAAAGTTGGCCAACATATGTTTAATCGGCCATGGCAAGCACCACCTCTGAGGTCAGAGTGCTTCCTTCCAGACTATTTTCAAACTGCTGGTGGCTTGATGAATGACTGGCACAGAGATTCTACAAAGCGATGAATGACATGCCAGGTCTAGATGTCTTTTCACATTGAAACCAAGGTACCTTGAAAAACAAGGTACCTGCTTGCTCCCATTCTCTCAGCCTCCTATTCCTATGCTTTCCCCAAACAGTTACACCCTGAAGACAAAGCATGTTGCCATAGGAGTATGAGTTAGGAATATGTGGCGGTCCAGAGGGGGTGTACAAGCCCCGGCCTACGAAGGAGGTAGTGCCCCGTGTAGAGCTACACTGTCAAATGGAACGGGTGAGAAGGATGCCACACAGCAGTGTGTGTGTGTGTGTGTGTGTGTGTGTATCTGGGTGCACATCAAAGCCTTCCACACAGAGGGGCCACATGATCTGAGGTGTCAGAGTGCAGGTTAGTGGGCAGAGACTCTGTATGGAGGAAGTGAGGACGAAAGCACAGAAGTTAAGAGATGGAGCCGTGGGTGGTGGTGGCACGCCTTTAATTACAGCACTGGGGAGGCAGAGGCAAGCAGATGTCTGTGAGTTTGAGGCCATTCTGTTCTACAGTGCAAATCTAGAACAGCCAGGGCTTTCTTACATAGAGAAACCCTGTCTCAAACACATACACACAAACAAACAAAAAGCAAACAAAAGAAAAAAGTTGAAGCCTTTGCAGGAAAAGGACATTCTAAAGACAACAGGCCACTAGTGGCAGAACTGGGAGATGACAAATCGATCAAATTGGCAAATACATTAGGGATTCAAAAACTCATCTCTCTGAGGAAGAAATCATGAATACAGAAAGGGAGACTCTAGAATAAGCTCATGGTTTCAAGAGACATACTGAAATATATACAAACACACACATACACATTTACATACACGTGTACAAATAGTTCAAAGTTTTGTACATTGAGAGGTCATGACAATGATGATACTTCAAAAACAATGGTGACAGCTATCACAAATCCTGGTTTCTAAATGCCCGTGTTAACTGTTAGATTGCAGACCCCTTCAAAACTTCTCTCCATCTCCCCAAAACCAGCCCATCTCTCTCTGGGATGGAGTTATAAGGCTGTGACATGCTGAAGCCTTGAAGCCCCCCCCCCCCAAAGATGCAAGGTAAATGCATAGTCCTATCCAGTACCCGGCTCCTTGCCATGTTTGCTGTGTCAGACCAAATCATATAGTGTAGAACTTGTGGCCAGCCCCTCCAAAGCATAAAAGTTGGTATCCCCGTTGTTCAAGTGATTTCTCCAAAGGTGCGTTTCGTCCTTCCTTGAGGTTCCCTGTAGTGTTGTCCAGAGTGGCTCTTTTTTTCTCTGTAAGCTGTCCCTTTGCATTCTTCCCCACCCCAAAGCCCATTCCTGGCCCCAATGTTTACAAGCCTCTCTCTCCTAACAAAGCTCATTTCTGGGAAGCGACTGGTCTCAGCTTCCTTTCTTGCTGTTTCCGGTGCTTCTGTAACTTACAGTATCCACTGCACAGGATTAGGAATCTTTAGAGAACTGCTGCCTTCAGGACTGGCACAGCGGAAGTTTGAATGTCTAGGGTCAAAAAGCAAACAGCGTTGCTGAAAATGGACGCATGCCTACCAAGAGGACACAGAAGTCTGTGTCCACAGTTTGACGGTGAACTTAGCAATGGATCAGTTTGGTAGTCAGAGATTACAACCCATTGAAACAGAGGAGACTGGGGTCTAAGAACATAAGTGAATAGCTTTAGAGTTTAATGAGGAGAACAACATCAGCAAAGTTTTGAAGCAAACTACTGAAAGGGGAAGAGAGTAAGTTTGCAGTGGAGAAGTCCAATGGCACCATGTGAATCAATCAAAGTGAGCATCAAAAATCAAGCGGGATAAAATAATACACAAGAAAATAAGACTCAGTGGGCTTCCTTGAGAGTCCAGTACAAGTGTAATTTGAACCTGATCCCAAAGAAACACTAAACAAACCCCACCTGAGAGCTGCTCTATAAAATAATTACCCTGTATTGCAAACACCCAGGTCATGAAAAGAGAAAGAAGACAGATGAATAATTCCCAACAGACAGAGGTGAAGATGAAGTGAGACTCTAACTGGGACCTTCAGGACACTTGGGACAACCTGGAAAGCTTGATTGGTGTCTGCCTTAGTCACTGTTCTATTCCTGTGAAGAGACATCATGGCCAAGGCAACATTCAGAAAAGAAAGACTTTACTTGGGGGCTTGCTTACAGTTTTAGAGGATTAGTCCATTATCATCAATGGTGGGAAGCAGGCAGGCATGGTCCTAAAGCAGTAGCTGAGAGCTTTCCATCCTGATCTGCAGGCAGCAGGCACAGAGAGTGAGATTGGGTCTGGTATGGGGTTTTGAAACTTTAAAGTCCATCCCCAGTGACATACTTCCTCCAACAAGGCCACACCTCCTAATCTTTCCCAAACAGTCCCACTAATGGGTCACCAAACATTCAAACAAATGACTTGATAGTGGCCATTCTCACTCAAAATACCACAGCAACTGTGGACCATGAGTGGGAAGACAGCGGTGTTGCCTTCCTGACTTAGATGGCTGCTTTGTGGTGATATGTGTCTTTGTTGGGGCTCCCAGGGGAGTTAAGGGGTATTAAACATCACATCGATTCACTCTCAAATAGGTGAGGAAGGTCCTCTGTGCTGCCTTTACAGTTTGCTGTAATGTTGTGATTTGTTAAATGAAAAAAAAAAAAAGTCACAGAATGTATAGAACCAGGAGGAGCTAGTATCTGCTATAACACATTCATACAGGTGTGAGTCTGTATGTATTTGTATGTATGAGTGTGTGCAAGTATGTACAAACATGCATAGGTGTGTGCATGTAATACTTTCAAACTGGTTTTCTCAGATCCAAATAATAAAGAACTTTTCTTAGAGCATCAGGGTCTGCTACATCCTCTAAACTGATTTTTTTTTATAACAGAAAGTTATTAATCATTTTCACCCAGATAGTCAAGAAGCACGACAACCTCTAGAGAGACACATTCTAGTCTTTATAAAAGTTCCAAAAACCATTCATGAGTTCAACAGTCTGTCAAACTCATGGTTCTGCTCTCTACATGATTTTGCCATGGTGTAATTAGGTTAAAAATTGTCTGTCAGGAAGCCTTTTGGCAGCTGAATGCAGGTCTTGTGTTGAGAGCTGTGAATCTCTAGATAGTCGTGTCTGTTACATGCTGTGACGTCCCACTTCTCCCCCTTGCCCATGTGGAATCTTCTGAGAGCCTGTCATGAAAGCAGGCTTCTGGTATCTCAGGTCTTCTTTGGGCGCTTCTCAGGCTTATGTTCTTTTTGACCGGAAGGAAAGATTTTCAACCAATTCAAACAGTTCCACTGCAGCCCCAGATCTAAAAACTGCTCCTCCCTTTGAGGTCAGATGTTCAGTGGTCATAGTGACCCTGATCCAAAAGACTTAGCAGAGTTCTCCAGCTCTGAGGTAGTGTCAGTCATAATAGGTTTTTTCTATGTTTTTCTTTCAATGAGGAGCTTTCTGTCCATGGCTTGGTCATCATGTTGCTGCCTTGGCTCAATGGACATGGTCTTGAATTGTACTCAATGGACATTTTTTTTTCCATGTCACAGTACTTACACTCCTTTCCAGAGCCCGATTCGGCTGCCCCGAAAATCCTATCTTCTATAGCAGGGAACACTACACAATGCTCTCTGGGACACGACTCTGCTTGTCCTCTGGTTTGCAATGCTTTGCTTTGGCTCCCGAGTATAACCGCGTGATGTAGTTCATGCAACGCTTAGACTGGGAAGCTGAAAGAGAAACATATTAACGATGAGTTTTGAACAGCACTGTACCCACTTATTTGAAGCTTATTGAAGCTCATGTTTTAGTTCTAGAGCCTGACCTACAACAGTCTGGCATATGCAAATGTTCTAAATGCATTGTTGTGCCTTAATTAAAAGAAACAATTTGTTTCATAAATAATATGCTGATCAACTTGAAATAAAACACATAGATATTTTTGCTGTCTACTAATTGCAGAAAATGACACATTGCCTTCAGCCAAGCCACATACTAGAAAATAATGAGGCCTGTGGGAAAATTTAGGTTTGGGCTGAACTCGCAGAGCCTTAAAATGGAGATGGGCCCAGACACGGATCTTTTGAAATCATAAGACAAAGTGGCTACGGCCTTGGGTTTGAGGCATGGAGACAGTAAGGATTGCACTACTTGTCTTGACTGTCAACATGGCTGGATTGATGAACATCTAGAAGATCAGTAAAGCATGGTTTTATCTGTTGTTTCTAGGGGTGGTGATGTAGGAGGAAAGCACCATCCTGAATGTGGGAAGCACCAACTGACAGGCCAAGGCCCAGGTGGAAGCAGAGGATCAAAGAACAAGGAAGCCAGTGAGCAAATGGGTTTTCTCTCTCTGCCCACTTCCTGACTGCCATGATGTAAACCATTATATTTTACCACACTTTCCCCACCACAGTGAGCTAATGTAAGTTCTTCTTCCTTTTGTCTGGCAGGTATTGGCCATAGTAGTGAAAAACCAAACCAAGCCTGACTAACACAGGAAGGAAATGGAAATCTGAGCCCAGGAGAAAATCCTTCTGCTTATGAAAATGAACGGCTCCTGTCTGTGCAGGGAGTCCTGAGCACAGGCCTCCATTCTGTTTTCTTAAAACCAAAACGGGGAGTCCGTTTGCTTGCTCGGCACCTGGGGTGAGGGCTTTCCTTTCTCTGCTGAATACTGTGATTCTCCTTCCACTGTTTTACCTTCCCCTTGTCCAGGAAAAACACCACAGGCATCTACACAAGTCACAACCCATCCCAGTGCTGGTCACCTCCACCTTACACCCTCAACCGACAGTAGGCAGTTTCCACACATTACCCCATCATCTGGTCACAGGGTCTCTTTCCCTACTACAAGCCTATTCTCTCTATTTCACGCTTTGGAAAGGTCAAAAGGAAACAAAAAGTTTTGCACAGGTGTTTTAAGAGACTAACTCATCTTACAAAAACTCTCAATCAAACAGACAGAACAAGCCATAAAGCTCAATACATTTCTTGAAACACCTGGAAGAGTAAGGTAATTTGCACAGAGAACTTATGGCAGATGGAGCTATAAAATTCTTGCCTTGCTATTGACCTGCTATTTGCCTACTAAAAAAAAATTTTTAATGAGAAATACACGTGTCCTGTGCACACCCACACTTCCACCCATCAGCCACACCCATATCCTTTCCTTCCACTTTAGAGCATTCTTCACCACTATTTTGCTTGAAGTATTGTAATGAAGTCATCCGAAGGTCCCAAATATTTCTCTTTGGATTAATTAAGCCTTGAATGTATTTATTCAATGAAAATGCATTCAACACTCCATTTGGGCCAGGCTCTATGACAGACTTCAAGGATGCAGAATGAATGGCTGTTTACTGCCTGACAGACTACAGTGTAGGGCGATATGGGAAGTGCTTCACTGGCTGAGGTTTTCAGTAGAATGCTGGACACCTCAAGCCAAACAGTGATCCTGATTGTGACAACAGAGCCAGAGCTGGCCTTCCTGAAAGTGGAAGGCCTTCCACTACCACTACATGAATTTAACTACCATTTAATCTTTGAAGGCAAACTTTCTTAAATAGCTGTAAAACAAATGAAAATCTATCAAATCAAATCAAACTTTGAATCTGTCCCCTCCCTACTTCTCTTAAGGCAGCCCACAAATGAGCCTCATTGTTTTTAAGTCTCAGGCCACAGGTTTGACTTACTCTGACTGTTATTCTCTTGGGAAGATGTTTCTTCATTGTTGGATCTTGATCTGTAGCTTTCTAGAGTATGCTCCGAAATTTCACTTTCTGCCAGAGAACAAAACCAAGTTACTGATTTCTGACGTTGCAGACATCATTAGAAATGGATGTTTGAATAAGATGACATCATGGCCACTTTTGGACCGTCAATGCCCTCCTGTGCCTCATGTATTTATTAGCTCAATATGCCATCTTACAGTGTTTTCAGGGTTCCCAGAGCCACTGTAAGAGATAAAGCCAAACGACAGCAAAATAGGAGCAAGCACTGCCCTTCAGAAAGGAACAACTGCAGCAGCCCTAACAGAATGATGGTGACCAATCATCAGTGAAAGACTGAAATAATACTACGCCATTTGCCTTTTGCACAAATGAAACATCAGACCTAATAGGGTTCTTCTCTGCTAGCTATTTTTATTTTGATTTATTTATCACCATGTTATTATTATAGTTGCTATTGTTTTGCTTTTAATGGTAACTCTTTCATTAGAAAGGGTGTCTTACAGATGAGTGAAACTGAGCACATTCTCGGAAAATATGAAAGGTACAAAACATGTATCCATAGCCACAACATAAGGAGAGCAGGGGTCTCCTGTCTGACAGACTCACTTAGCCCAAGAAACTGGAATGCTGGCTGGCATGCAGTGAGCACTCATCGAGGCTAGGCGAATGAATGGACGAACTGCCTCAGGGTTTTGTCAATGAGAGTATAGTTCCCCACCAACTCTCGCAGCTACTCTAGTTTCTGTCTATCTGATACTTTTTGAGCCAGTTCCCTGGAGGTCCACAGCCCGCCTTTGTTAGGAAATAAATAATTGCTTATTCGAGTGACCACCCTTACTGGCCAGCTTGCACAGCAGCTAAGAGAGGAGCTTTGACTGACAGCCTCTTACAGACCTCTTGGGGGTTCCCTGCCACTCACCCTTCTTCCATATCACGTGTGCTTTACGCAGCTTCATGATGAAGAGCTGAACAATGATGAAGAGGATGAAAATGAGGAAGGACACCAGTGTGAGCAGCAGAATGCCACTCTTCCTCCTCGTCAGTCCTGTGTACAGAGCACTGGCTTCTGAAAGGAGAATGAGACAGTATTAGGCTGTTTGGCTTTTGTGGCTTTTCCCTCTGGTTTTGATCATTGTGGAATGTGATGGTTAGTTTTCATCTTTATTTCTCTACATTATGAGATAAGGTCTCATTGCGTAGCCCTGGCCAGCCTGGAACTTCCTATGAAATCCAGGCTGGCCTTAAACTCACAGGGACCAACTTGTCTCTACCTCCCTAGTTCTGGGTCTAAAAGCATGTGACACCACCTAGCTGTGATACTTAATGTTAATTGTCAGCTTGATACAAAGTAGAATCACCTGCAAATAGATAATCTCAGTGAGGGAGTGACTAGGTCACAGTGGCCTGTGGGAATGTCTGTGGGAGACTGTCTTGATTACATTAGTTGGATGGGAAGATGCAGCCCATTGTGGGTGGCACCATTCCCTGGGTTTGGGTTCTGGCTGTATAAAAGTGAAGGAAGTGAGCTGAGGGATAGGCATGCAGGAATCCATTCTCATTCTGCTCCTAACTGTGAATGGGGCGAGCTGCTTCAAGTTATGGCCTCGACTTTCCCACAGTTACAGACTGTAACCTGGAACTGTAAGCTGAATAAGTCCTTTCCCCCTTCACGATGCCCTTGTAAGGGTGTTTTATCACAGCAGTGGGGTTTACAGCCAGGACAAAGAACATATACTGTGCTTCTCTAGAGCAGTATGGACCAAAAGACAGCTCAGCTCAGGAGATAAGCCAAATTTACCACAGAAGTCATGAACTGCATATTCTGAAACAAGCAAATGGGCAACAGAGACAAAGCAATCCCATATATGACTCGAAAAGTTTTTTTTTTTTTAAATGACATAGATATTTAGTTCTTTTTTCATGTCTAGAGAAAGCACACAAGGATAGTGACTTAAATGACAGCCAGTCTGGGAATTTAAAGTAGCTTTGAGAAATGCTTGTTCAGCACAGTGTAGCTCTGTAGCACAGGGGATTACTAAGGGGTCTGGAAAAAAACTATCCAAATAAAACAAAAGGCCATGTACCTTGACTAGGTTAAATGCAGTCCTTGTAAGGCATTAGCAGATACACTTGATGAGCTCTTGAAAGTCCTTCTAAACTATCTGTAATTTTGCCAAATGCCCTTTTCCTTGGCCATCAGGCTCCGAATTAAGGAATGGTGGCTACGTGGAGAAGATAGTGCTTGACTCTGTCTAGGACATAATCCATATGCCTTAGAGAATCATTTTCTGTTCATAACGATAAGTACATTTAAAAAGACAAACAAAGGTAAGATATGCTGACCTCTGGAATCACCTGCATTTATAGACTATCGTGTTTAGGAATTCAGAGACAAATGGACCCTGAGGCTGCATACATCAGGAAAGCTTTCAATAGATATCAGCTATTGAAGCAAGACAATTAAGGTGAAGGCTCTCCTGCCATGGGGTAATAAGGATAGACAGGGCAAGGCTGCTGAGACCGGATGGTACCTTCAGAGCAGAGCGGACCTTATGTGGCTTATATTGTGTGTTGGTATATGGGAGGCCAGAAAGACCCTCAATACACAAGTGTGCAGGCCACGAGGGTATGTTTTGACTGATGTCACAGGATGATGAGGGCCCACTTTAAGGAGCAGCTATTATCATCGACAATACACCTAAAAGAGAAAACTCATGAGCCATTGGTGACTACATGTCTTTGCGTGTGTACGCATCCAGATCTGCATTTGCCCACAGAAACGAAGGGTTGGGAGTACACAATACCTTGAACAAACTTTTTTTTGTGGAGAAGAATGCTACTTGAATTTTTAGAAACGTTGAACTTCGGAGAGAGGACGTTTGACTAAAGACACGGGAAACAAATAGAATGAAAGGGCTGGTGAGATGGCTCACAGGTCAGGGTGCTTGCTGCTAAGCCTGATGATCTGAGTTTGATTCCTGGGACATACATAATAAAAGGGGAAAACCAACTCCCAAAAGTTGTCCTCTGGCCTCCACATGCGTGGCATGTCCCCTGCCACAAACAATTAACTAAGTTAACAAATAACTAAGCAAATAACTAAGTTAACAAATAAGCAATTGTGTCAGAAACTTTTAGAAAAAGGAACATGGACTGGAGTTGAAACTGGTCATCAGAAGAACATTTTAGTATGGACCTCATCCAAATATAGGCAGCAAGAGACAAGTCAGGAACGAGCGAGCTTTCTATGAACTAAACGATGCAGGGAGGGCACTGTAGCTCAGTGGTCAGTGCTTGCATACCATGTGTGAAATCTTGGGTTTAATTCCCAAATGGCCAATTTTAAACAAAGACAAGGTGAAGCATTGAAGTCAAGAACGTCTACATTTAAGAACTTGCAGGAGGGGCTGAGGGGATGGCTCAGCAGTTAAGACCACTGGCTGCTCTCCCAGAGCATCCGTGTTTGATTCTCAGTGCCTACATGGTGGCCCACAATGATCTGTAACTCCAGATTCAGGGGATCCACTGTCCCCTTCTAGCCTCGACAGGCACTTGGCACATACGTGGTACACATAACAAACATTCAAGCAAACACAATATTCGTTAAAAAGAAATCCTTTTAAAACAAAGAAGCCAGGGTTCAAAGATGCCGCGGTCAGCAAAAATAACAGGACCAGGCCGCCGGTTAAGGAAGCCGAGAGACAACCAAGTCAAATGGGACAGGGGAGTGGTTAAACACGTCATCGGGATAGAAGGTCAAGGAAAGCAAGGACTGAAGAGGCCATTGGACACACAACTAGGAAGTCAACATATCAAGCATCTGTTCTAAACGCAGTGGGTGGCACTCACCAGTGTTCAAGGCAGGGTCCTGAGAGTTGTGTTCTTTCTCCTCTCTGTCAGTCTCGGGTAGACTGGAATTTTCTGTCATTGAGACTAAGGTGAGAGGAAGACACATATATACACATCACACATATGTGACTCGTCCTATAGCTGCTCCGGCTTGACCGTCCCTCTGACCTCATGTTGACATTTACTTTCGATGTGATGGTGTGGACCTGTGGGCCTTTAAGAGGTGTTTAGGTCCAGAAGGCTCCATCTGCATGGGAGGACTGATGCTATCCCAGGAGAACAAGTTCCTTTTGACATTTTGTCTATTTCATGTGAATGAGTATTTTGTATGTATGTTCATCTGTGTGTCACGATGAGTGCCAAGTACCCCAGGAGGCCAGGAGATGGTGTCAGACCTCCTGGAGTTACATGTGGTTGTGAGCCACTGTGTGAGTGCTGGGAATCGAACCTGAGTCCTCCAGAAAAGCAGCCAGTGCTTTTCACTGAGTCATTTCTCCAGCCTAGACCAAGTTCATTTTAAGGAAGTGACTTTGCCCCTCTTGCTCTCTCTTTACTATAGCAGGCAGGCCCTTGCTGGCTATGGCCCCTTAATGGACTGACTTTGATTTTGGGGTCACCTTCTCCATCATTCCCTTCTTTCTTCCTTTCTTTCTTCCTTCCTTCCTTCTCTCTCTCTCTCTCTCTCTCTCTCTCTCTCTCTCTCTCTCTTTCTTACACAGGATCTTTCTACATAGCCCAGGCTGGCCTGCAATCCCACGTAGAACAGACTGGCCTTGAGCTCACAGAAATCTTCCTGCCTCTTCCTCTTGAGTACTGGATTTAAAGGCCTGTGCCACCATGCCCAGCTTCCATCTTTTTGAGACAGGGTCTCTCTCTCTCACAGAACCTGCTAGACTGGGCTGGTCAGTGAAGAAACGCCCATCTCTGCTTCCCGAGTGCTGAGGTTAATGAATGCTGCAGGCTTTTACGTGGTGCTGGGGATCTGAACTTAGGTCCTCAGGCTTGTGCAGGGAGCACTTTGCCCACTGGGCTGTTCCCCTAGCCCCTGCGGGAGGTTGTTCTAAACTGTGTTCACCCCACCATGCTGCAGAACCCCAGAACTCAATCCCCACCTCCAAATGCCTGTTGGCACTCACTATCCAACCCCCTTCCTCCCTCTCCCCTTCTGAGTTTCTATTAATAACAATTACAGTTCTGTTTGCTTTTTTCTTTTAGGTCAACACTTTTAGCTCTCACATATGAGGAAGAACACGCAGCCTTGAACCACCAATTTCTCACAAAAGCAGTCCTGAATGGCCAGACTCCCTTTGTTTTACTGATAAGGGCAAGCCTTTATTGACCGTTTAGTGTGCGCTTGCTGTGTTGGTATCTCGCTTTAGTTCTCAGAGAACAGGTTTTGAGCGTTTAGCAACAGGCCTAGTCCTGAAGCGACTGCGTAGCAGAGTTAACAAGAAAATTCCCACTTTTCTAATTTAGGAACGTAAATCAAGGCCTTTATTCCATGCTTCCTCCTTTCCTAAAGATGATTAGGGGGAGGGACTATCCACAGAATGCGTCAAGAGAACCACTAAACACCGGGGACAGGGACAGCAGCCGGGCTCTCTGGAGAAAAACTCGGGTACAGATGCACACGGCAAGGCTCTTTGTGTTGTGCTAGAGTCTCAGCTGCCGGTCTAAAGCCCGGATGCCCCTCTTTTAGAAACAGGATGAACTGTGAGGCCTTTGTAGATGGACTAGAACAACAAGATAGCTTTTCCAGAGTTCTATTTATGCCTGCAGAAACCTTTCCCTCAGCGGCAGGGTTTTATCAGCCCATTGCACAGCGCCACTATGTGGCCCCGAGGGGAATGAAGCCTCCGTTCTCAAAAACAAGTATTATTAACAGTAATACAATCGCAGAAATTGAAAGCTGGAAAGAATTTCACAGACCACGTCTCGTGATTCCTACATTGTATATGAAAATGCGGAGCAGAAAATTGAGTTGTGCAGGGGTGGTGCCAGGCAATTTAAAAACAGCCAGATTCTAAACACGTTTAAAAATACCGGATTATTAAAGCAAGGGTGTGGTTGCCCACTTTGTAATGCTCTCAATTTCCAGTGCTCCTCAAAATAACCTGTACGGTGCATATTGCTTTTTTCAGTGTTTAAAAACCCCAAACACTTACTTTTCAATAGTGTTCAGGACACAGGGTTGTTTTGTTGTTGTTGTTTAATGCTCAAAACTATGAACATAGTAATGACCCAAAGACATCTGCCCAAGCAGATGGAATTATTATAAAGAACATTCAGGAGTGCATATCTTCTTGGGGGAGATAACCCTCTTACTTAAAACACCGATAAACTCCCTCACTAATTCATTCATTCACGCACCACTTGTTCTGCATTTTCTGTGTACCCGCTGTTGCCTCACACAATGCCGCAGAGAGTAAAATGAGCTACGTGGTACCCCTCCCCCGCCCTTAACTAGTTAATTCATTATCTAAAATACAAGACTTTCTAAATTCTTCTTATGGCTCAACCCTGCCAAAAGGGACTCATGGCTGGGGAGATGGCTCAGCGGTTAAGAACGGCAGCTCACAACTGTCTGTCACTCCAGTCCCGGGGGATCTGGCACCCTCACAGTGACATGCAGGAAAAACACCGATGGACATAATAAATAATCTTAAGAAGTGACCACGTTCTTGACAACCAGGTGCCTGCAAAGGGGAGAGGGCTCATTGTTACTGCCAATACTTCTGGCTCCAGCCCCTTCCTTCGCTGTAGGTGGGAAATCTTTCCATTAGGAATGAGGTACACAGAAAACCAAGAGTAAGTCCCCTAAATGACTTCAGCTACATGCTCACTTCACATACCACAGTCATATCTGCAAGTGTGTGGACACGTGTGTGTGTGTGTTTACTTAAACACCTCCAGCTAAAGATCTCTTGACCTCATAAGGCCCTATGACACCAAGCTCGTGAAATAAAGAATTCTTGACCTGACTCTATCCCAGGACACCGCAAAACTGGAAGCAGCTGGAGAGAGGTCTATGCAGTCTTACGAAAAATAAGTATAAAGGCTGGGGACGTGTAGTGGGTAAACTGTTCCACGTGCAGGCATGAAGGCTTGAATTCTGCTACCCACAACTTTCACAATAGTCAGACATGGTGACACATGCCTGTGACCCCAGCACGGAGAAACAGAGACGAGACGATTCTGACAGGCTTGCTGACCATCGTCTAAACTGAAATGGTGAGCTACAGCTTCAATAAGAGACCGTGTCTCAAATATCAATCAATCATCAATCAATCAGAAACAGGCAGAACGAGTGATGGGGGAAAGAAATTCTTACATCAGCCTCTGGTTTCCACATGTGCATGTGAGTGAGTACACTCATATGTATACACAAGAACGTGAGTTTTAAAAATATTATTTAAATGTAGGATTGAAAATGTGCATTCGCGCTGGTCATGGTAGTGCATGCCTTTGATCCCAGCACTTGGGAGGCAGAGGCAGGCAGATCTTTCTGAGTTCAAGGCCAGCCTGGTCTACAGAGTGAGTCCAGGACAGCCAGGGCCACACAAAGAAGCCCTGTCTCAAAAAACCAAACAAAACAACAACAACAACAACAAAAGTATTCACAACCAGGCATTTCTTTTTGAGGTTTCAGTGATTTTTGAGACTTACCCGTACTCTCCGGCTGCTGGAGGCCCTGAGAGGAGAGAGAGCTCTGCTCAGGGGCATCCGAAGCTGTTTCTTGATCTGCAACTAAAAAAGGGGAAAAACAAAATTCTGCAATCACTGAGATCAGCTTTAGCCACATTGCGCTAGGCGTCACCCTGCACAGAGCCTGCCTGCCACCCACTCCTGGGGGCTGTGCTGAAACTTGGAGCCCGCACTTCCTGTTTTGACACTCCCCCTACCCCCCCACCCCTGCTGCTTGCCCATCTGCTAGGTGACCTGGCTGAGAGTACAGCCTGCTGGGACCCCTGTGTGCAAGGACATTTGGCAGTAGCAGGCAAAGGGCATTTGCTGTGTCCTTCTGCACATACCTATCAGTTCCTCTGTCTGTCCATCTGCATATGGATATTTTCCTATTTCCATAGGAAATGCACTTCCATGCCATTGACCCATTTCTTCAGTCTCAGGCAGAGCTGAATCTCAGTGCTACTATCTGCATGATCCTCTGTGATGTGAGCCGAATGCTTAATTTATCCAGCACCTTTTCCCTTATGTGTGAAATATAGGTGCTAGCTGTTACCTCGTTACCTCGTGTGTGTGTGTGTGTGTGTGTGTGTGTGTGTATGTGTGTGTGTGTGTGTGTGTGTGTGTGCGCAGTAATAACTCCATTCATACAAGGTGTTTGGTACAATATCTGTTTACTAAGAGAGATGCTCACTAAATGTTGTTCTGTAACATAAAGAAATGTCAGTGGGTACTTCCAGAGAGTCCACTTGGATCATTTTCATCAGTCATTGAAAAGGCCAGCATCCAGAAAGCATGAAGTGTTTAGGCATCTAACTGGGCCTACCAACATACAATATATGACATGTGGGAATCATTTCCTACAACTTATGGATGCTTCTCAGTGCTCATTCAATTGAAGAGTTTTTTTGTGGTTCAAAATTGTGATGTTAGGAATTAAGCATATGTAATTTTTAAACCGTTGCAAAAAACTCTGAATTGTGGGTAAAAACTTTGAGGAATTTCAGAAAAAAACATTAAAGGAAATATTTCAGGCATTCCCTTTACCTGTGATTATAAAGTGTATAGTAGCTTTGGTTGGCCTGGAACTTGCCATGTAGACCAGGCTGGCCTTGAATGTCTTGTGATTCACCTGAATTATTATATACTTATTTCAAGCAAGATAACTTGGTAGAAATAACCGAAAACAGAAACTATTGAGAACTGTGTTGTTTTCTATTAAGCCAGACATCAAGAGTATTTAAAAAAATATAAAATGATGGCTGGAGAGAAGGTTTAGAGGTTAAGAGCACTGGATGCTCTTCCCAAAGGTCCTGCATTCAATTCCCAGCAACCACATGGTGGCTCACAACCATCTGTGAGATCTGGTGCCCACATGTAGGCAGAATGCTGTAATCAGTCAATCAATCTTTTAAAAGTATATAAAATAGATTTTTTTCACTAATTTTTGTACCATGGTTATTTTTCATAAAACTATGCAATATTTGTTAACATATAGTAGATTTATTATTGTAAAGTAACTTGACCATGTATTTTAAATTTCTCAGTTTTAATTATTAACACACACACAGAGTGTGGGAGATGTTGACATGAAAACTTTTGAGAGCTGTGGCTCAATACTGTAAAATCCTACCCCCACATCAGCAATGGGCACTAAAAGTTCCTTATTTGGAATACCAAACAGAGGAAGCAAGTCAGTTCCCCAGAGAAACCCTCTTTCTCTGTTCTCACATCTGCATATTCCTAGATCTGACACATTCCTAGGACTGCCCTTATGTTCCCTGCATCCCACCCAGAAGAGAGCGCAGGTGAAAAGGTCTGAGTGCTTACCTGTTAACATGTTTAAAAGTGTTCTCAGCTACTAAGCTTGTTTTTTAACTGATTGGGTGAACAAAATATTTGTACTACCTGTGTGACTCAGAGGTAAAAAGATTAAAAAAAAAAGATAATAGACAAATAGAAGCCACCAACGGCTGATACTCATGGCCCATTTTGAATATTTTTTTTCTGGAAATGTGGCGTGGTTCTAGAGAGTCAGTAGGTAGCTGTGATGGCTGATTTGATTGTCAACTTGACACACTTGGGAAGAGAGACCATCAAGTAAAAAATTCCTTCCATCAGATCGGCCTGCAGGTGTGTCCATAGGGCATTGTCCTGACTGATGATTGATATGGGAAGGCCTAAATGAGGGTTAAGCTGTGCCACCCCTTGGCAGGTGGTCTTGGGTTCTATAAGAAGACAGGCTGAGCAAAGCTCGAGGGGCAAGGCAGTAAGCAGCACCCCTCTACAGCCTCTGCTTCAGTTCCTGCCTCCAGGTTCCTGCCTTGAGTTCCTGCCCTGAGTTCTCTCGGTGATAGACTATGACCTGAGTGCGAGCTGTATGATTAAATAAACCCTTTCCTCCTGTAAGTTGCTTTCAGTAAGTGCTTTATCACAGCAACATGGAAGCAAATCAAGACAACAGTGCCATATTAAGCCAAATTAAAGGCGACTAAACATAATCATTCTTCTTACCCAAATCTTCAAACCAGAAGGGGGCAACCAGCTTCCGTCCTTGTAGGCCGCTGTGCTGGACAATGCAGTGCGCTGTTGAGTTTTTGCCATAGCTGTGGACTGTTAGGGTGCTGCTGGTGGTACATGTCTTCCCATCCGGTCCAAATTCAGGGTGAAGTTCACCTATGCAGCAGTTTCAAGATTTGGGAAAGGTTATGGCTATGGAACTCTATTGGATAGGTCCCAGGGCAAGCAGAACCACAGTCATTCTCAGCCAGCTGCCTTGTGTGGCTTGGGTACAGGAGAGTGGGCAAGTCTCTACAAACCCTCTACTACCAGGGGAAAAGATCAAAGCTTACAGTGGTTGCACAAGAGGATGACTTAATGTCACAAAGCCCCAAGAGCATAATGAAGGTCACATTGATGAAAGCGTTTCATAATGAAGAGGATTTCTGCTGGACTAGAAGGCAGGCCCGAGTCTGACATCTGTTTATGACGCCATTTAGCCCTCAGTTTTCTTGACCGTGCACAGCTCTTAGGGGCAGAGGTGATTGTACAGCTAGCAAAGGCAACATGTACGGAAATGCCAGCAAACAGTATGTAAGAGTTTTCCCCAAATCACAATTCGTTCTTTTGTTTCAGACAAAGAGACTACTAAAAACATTTTATCCTTACAGTATTAAAAACAGTTTTAATGAGGGGTTCACTAAGTAGTTCAAACTGGCCCAGGGCTCACTATGTAGCTCAGGCCGGCCTCATACAGACAACCCTCAAGCCCCATCCTTCCAGAGGCTGGGAATACACATAGGACACCCCCCCACACACACACACACCTCTCATAACTTCATCATCTGGCTCTGTGTGCGCAACACAGCATCCCATATATAAGGAAGGCTTTGGTGTTTAATTATAGACGCTTCCTGACTTACTGCGCCTCAGCTTAGGATTTCTCAACCTCAAAATGTAGAAAAGCACACACACAGCGACTCATAGAAACAGGCCATGATTCTGTGTTTTAACCGACCTCGGCACAGAACTGAATACAGTATGTGCATTGCTCAGAAGTCTGTTATGATACAGGCTTCGTAATGGATGATGTCGCCGCGAGGAAGGATAACATAAGCGTTCAAAGCATGTCTTGGGTTGATGAAGTTGTTTAGTGAACTGGAGTATTAAGAAAACTTTTACAGGGTCTGGAGAGATGGCTCGGCAGTTAAAGGCACTGGCTGCTCTTCCAAGAGACCAGGGTTCAAATCCCAGCACCCACATGGCAGCTCACAACTCTCTGCAGCTCCAAGATTTGACACTCACGCAGACGTACATGCAGGCAAAACACCAAATGAGCATAAAATAAAAGCAAAATTTTAAAAAGAAAAATATTTCAACTTATGGTGGGATTTCTTGGGACACAGCCACTTGGTAAGCTGAATATCATATGTACTCATATAATGTTAAACATGTTTCCAATTTTATGACTGTGAAAAAGCCTACGCTCAGTGTGACACTTATTTTAGGGAATTCTGTCAGCTTTAAGAAGTATTATAAATAAGACTACCATAAATTAAAAAGAAATCATAGTTTGGGATAGCCTTTTTAACATTAGACAAAATATTGGTTATTATAATGCTAATTTCTCTGGAGTGGAGCTGATGTATAAGAATGGTGTCGTCATCTACCTAGCAGTGTACCAAAGCAGGTGCTGAGACCCATAACCAAGCCTTTGGCAGAGTGTAGGGAATCATATGAAGGAAGGAGGAATTAATATATCCTAGAGGGCACAGGGAGCCCCACAAGGTCCAAATATATCTGGGCACAGGGGTCTTCTATGAGACTGTTTATCCAACCAAGCACCATGCATGGACATAACCTACAACCCCTGCTCAGACATAGCCCATGGTGGCTCAGTATCCAAGTGGGTTCCCTAGTAAGGGGGACAGGAAGTGTCTCTGACATGAACTCATGAGCTCCCCCCCCCCCCCCCCCCCCCC